TTGAAGCAAGTGTTACTTTGAATCCAAAACCAGAGAAGGATCCAACCACAAAGAAAACTACAGGCCAATTTCCCTACTGAACATAGACACAAAAATCTTTGATAAGATACTGACAAGTTGAATGCAACAAATCATCAAAAAAGATTATACACCAAATAGGATTCATCCTAGGGAATCAGAGATGGTTCAAAATATGCAAATCAATTAATGTAATGTGCCATATCAACCGAGTCAAAGGCAATATCATATGATCATCTCAGTGACACAGAAAAATTGTTTGACAAAGCTTAACACCCAACCACCATAGAAACCCCACAGAAAATTGGAATAGAGTGTCCTTATCTCAATTCAATAAAAGCCATTTTTGACAAACCAACAGACAACATCATACTAAAAGGTCAAAATATTGAAATCTTTCACACTAAAATCAGATAAAGAAATAGAAACAGCAAATAAGTATATAAAAATGTTCAATGTCATTGGTAATTTAAGAGATGCAAATTAAAGCAATGATGATATGCTACCCCACTCCATAAAGAATGACAATTATCAAGAAATCAACCAATAACAAATGCTGGAGGGGCTTCAGAGAAAAATGAACTCTTCTCCATTGTTTGTAGGACTGATGCAACCACTGTGTTAATAAACCAGGGTAGAGATTTCTCCAACTAAAACTAGAAGTTCCATTTGACCTAGCTATTTCTCTTTTTGGTATCTTCCTGAAAGAATTAAAAACATCATACCACAACAATATATGAGCACCCATGCTTATAGCAGCACAGTTTATAATAAGCAAATCTTGGAAACAGATTCAGGTTCAACAGATGATTGGATAAAGATATAGGGATTTTTAGATAATGGAATACCACTCAGCAATGAAGAAGAATAAAGCCGAGACATTTCTAGGTAAATGGCTGTGCCTTGAGACTTACCCCTAAGTGAAATTAATTGAACACCCATGTGTAAATATTGCATTGTTTATCTGGTGCAAGAAAACAAAAGTGTAAATAAGAACCAAACCGTATACTAGATGTTATCAGATAGGAAGACACTCAAATGGGAAGGAGAATTAGAGATGGGGAAAGGGGATAAAATGGAATTGAAAAGCAAAGAATGAAAATGAAGCTTTTATAAATAGAAAAGGGAAGAGACTCCCAAATATGGAAGGCAATGGGGAAAATTATATCATGTATAAGTACAAATTCTCTGTGATGAATGATCATTATGTATATCTAAAATATAAAATAATAATAATAATAATTTAAAAATAAAGTCAATCTCTGTGTCTTCAGAAACAAAACTCAAAAAGCTTCAGACAATGTTACCTTCATTAAGGATATTCAAACTTTTCTCTACTAGTCAGATAGAACAGAGGGGAGGGAGGAGCTGACCATCTTAATTTAGGATTTCACTGAAAATCTATGAGTTCCTTTTCTCCCTAGCCCTGAGACTGCAGGGAATCCCCATTCACCTTTAAAATGCTTAGATGGTATTTCTGGCCTCATTCAAAGTGAAGACTGCAAATTTGTCGGTTGTCTTGAAGCTGGGATTGCTATGTTTGAGTCAATGAGAGTCACCAATGCTTTTATCACAAACCTGGTTAAGCACCAATATTTTTACTGGTTTATCTGCCTTGTGCCAGAAACCAATATAGAATCATCAATCACTGGCTATATGCAGTCTGTCAAGCACTACCAGGGACCAAGAAGTTGCTGCAAATCATTCCAGAACCAGTTCTTCTTTCATTCAAGAGCTTCAACTGTTACATATCCTCCTTGTAGATACTTGTTTGCTCAGCATCATAAAACGTGAGCCATTGTCTTCACTAATTTGAGGCTTGCAATTATATCTTGAAAAACTGCAAAATTTTAGAATTTAGTGAATATCTCGAGGAGAAATTAGAATGTATGTATGTATGTATGTATGTATGTATGTATTTGGAATTGAAACCAGGAATCAATGAGCTATACCCACAGCCCATATTTTTTTTTTTTTTCATTTCAGACTGGGTCTAGAGACTATGATGCTACTACCTCATCTCCCTCCGGGCAGTGCTAGGATTACAGGCTTGTGACACCACACATAGCTCCTACTTTCTAATTTTGTCACTTCCATCCTAAATAACTGCCAAAAGTTTTGTCATTCCTCATTCCCAGCAGAGATCTTCCTGATCCAAACCTAGATTTCCAACCTCTAGGTGCAAAAGAAAAAAAAAATCCATAAATATTATAGACATAGTTGCAAATCCTTAGTTCACATTTGCAAGGTTTTTATGTTTCTCGTAGTCCCTTTGGTCCTTACAGCCTTACAGTTTGGTTGGCCTCTGGTGCATTATGTATATTATCTTTGTGATTGAGCCAAGGGTTCTAACTGTTCTCTGTGGGAGCATTGGGTTGACATTAGCTAGTTACTTCATTCCACAAGAAAAATCTCATGCAAGCTTCAGTTAAATCCAATACAGCTTTTAATACCTGGAGACGAAGTGTCTAAGCACTGTGAAGATTGAAGAATGTTTACAATTTGAGGAAGGGGTGTGGCTTCCCTTTGAACTCTAAGATCTTGATATGAGTAATCATCTTAGAGTTTTTTTTTTACCTGTGTATTTTTCTACCTGTGTGTCACTCATCAATCCATCCACGTATCTTGCTTTCACAGAAATATTGTGGCAATGGATTAGATTGTTATTCAATAAAAATTAAATTCAGTGTTTGCACCCAGGGAAATATTGAGTGGTCATGACCCTGCTGCTGCTGTTGTCCTTGCTGTCTAGTCTCACTGGCTATAGTGAATAAACATTTTATTGCCTCCTCCAATTGTCCTGCTCTTTAAGGTCTAGCTTTCCTAAAGTTCTAGCTATTTTACACTGTTTCTCCAATAAGCCAAATTATGTTAACTAATGTGTTTTATAATGGAACAATTTTTGCTTGACCTTAAGTTAACTAATGGATGCTGCTGTAGTTTTTACATTTATTGCTTTTACATTAACAAGTATTTTATAATGTGTCACCAATCTACCCAATTAATTTTTGTAAGGTTAAATTACTTGTGTTTGAAAACTATAAAAAACATTGAAAAATGTATAACAAGAAAATATATAACATCTTTTAATATCTGCATATTTAATACAAATACATTTTCTTTCTGAAAAGCTAAAATGGAAAATTTGAAGAAAAATTTTCAGGAGTGAAATTTAAAGAAGCAAGTGAAAAACTAATTAAATCGAATGAAAAAACAGGGAGTTTGAATAAAGAGAAACGATGAGAGAGCAAGAGGTCGGATCTTTCAGTAATCATCCATACTTCAAAGGGCAAAGCCAACCTAAGCATCATTAGTAACTATTTCCAGGCACAAGAATAGAGTATATTTCATTTGTATTACAAGATCAACCTCATAATTTAAACTATCAGAATTTTAGATCTAGTGCCATTTTTATATACATAGGTATGTAAAATGATAGTAATTTATTATGCGTTATGTTAGAGTAATAATTGCCCCTGAAATAATTGGTTTATATCTATTATCTTGTGTAATTTTCACAGCAACCGTTTAACATTGCCAGACTTCGTTCCACTTAATCACAGGTCAGCAAACTGGGAGCATAGTCACCATAGAGGATGACTGTAGTCAAAGCAGTGCTGAGATCCTGGGCTGCACAAGCTTTGTCCCATATAACTTGCTGCAAGAGGGACACGGTGTGTAGGTGTACTGTTCCATGTGTAGCCTCCAGTCACATTGGAGACTGAACACTTGAAAGATGCCTCATGCAGCTGAAGAAGTGAATTTTAAATTTCATGCAATTTTAATCAAGTAAAATTTAAATGGTTGCATGTGTCGAATAGCTACCATGGTGGGCAGTATGAGTGAACAGTTGGATAATACAGGGTGCTGAAAATATTCAGCGTATTTGGCAAAATCAAGTCTAACTGTTTCTTAGAGCTAATGAGCTGACATATCAACTCTTGACTTACTTTTTAGTGGAAACAAATATTATACATGGAATAAACTATGCACTAACTTTTATTTGTAAATTACATATAGTTTAATTGTAAATATTTTCTGTGAAATAGAGGACATGCATAAGGTGTCTTCCTTGGTTGAAGGGCAATTTACTTTTTCTTTATTTGGGTTTGTGGTGAGGCTGGCTGGAAACATGCAGCATCCCACACTTGGAAAGTAACAGAAAGATAGAGTGGTTAGTTTTATCTTTACCTAAAATGCAATAGTATTATAGAACTCAACTAGCAATTCTAGTTGACTTCCTCCTTTCTTCTGAAGCAGGCTGACAGGGTGTGCTGAGCAAGTGGTGTGACAGCAAAGGACATTTAGTATGATTCTTGCAGGAGCATGGGAGTGACTCCTTTTCCCTTACATATCCAATCCTGTGGTGATCCTCACACCAATAATGAACAGGATTGGATATGTGCTCTATCCTCTCTAGAAAGCTTTCTCACTTCTCTCTCACAGCCTTTTCAACCAAACAAAAGACATCTTTTGCGTATATAATTATACAAGTAGTGTTTTACTTTCCTTCCCATGCAAGCTGGAAAAGTGAAGTAACATTTGGCATATCTAAGACTATTTTACAAAACAATAGTTTCCTCTTCCAAAGAACTTATGTTCATTATTCCTCCAGAATGAAGTGAAACTTTGCCTCCTTGCTTTATATCCATACTCTCAACTCTTAAAAGATTTAAATTAGTTAGAAAGTTCAAGTCATTCAAGAACTTTAATCCCTCCTCCCATTTCCTCTTCTGCGCCAGTTGTGTTTTACACTTTGTTCAAAAGTTCAGAGTCTGCCTGAGGGTTGTGGCTGCAGAGGGAGTTTGATTGACTGCACATGTGTGAGTGCCACACACACACACATCACCCACCCGGGACACTTTGAGGAAGACGCCCTGCGAGACACACTTCTGAAAAGAGTGCTTGGCTCTGGCCCACCTATACAGAGCTCAGTTCCTAAAAATAGGTGCTTGGTTGCATCCTTGAAACTCACCGCTAAAATAAATTCAGCCATCATCCCATCCACTTGTTGAATAGACCTGTCCGTGGAGCTGGTCTCCACTTCACTTGCTTCAGGGGACTGGGAAATTTGCTGTACAGGAAACGAGGGAGGAAGCTACTCAGTGAAGAATTATAGAGATATATGACATTTCCATGAACTTGGGGTTAAATCTATTATAAAAGGTACGTGGAATACTATCATTCATTCATGTGTGCTTCCAGGACTGCAAAATGCTCTGGCTCATCAGTGACAATCAATGAAAGCCATAGGTCAAATTGTCATTGTTATACAAGGAAATATTCAGTGGGGTTTTGTTATTATGATAATATTCATCATTATTTTATATTATGAAATTTAAGTCTTTATATATGCAACTCTTTGCGAAAAAGCATTTGTCATAATACTGAAAAATAATGAACCCAATTTAATAAAGTCACTGGTAAAAATTTTATAACTTGCAACTAAAGAAAAACTGGATAAAAATCAGTTTGCCTGTAATAGGCATAAATTAAAGTAATACATTAGGAAACACAAAATGGTGTTTTTTAAAATATGGTGATGAAAAGAGGAGTTTGAAATATTTTCAACTGTCTCAGCTTGCTCAGAGAGATGTAGGTAAATTATTCTTTTCCAGTTTTAGTTTGATTCTGTAGCTCTCGCTCTAGCCATGGGCTCACCTCCTCTGGGAGTTTTACTGGAATAAGGATTAAAGACCAAGGTTCTTACACATTTTGCAGAATTAAGAAAAGCATTTCCAGTTGGATCTGCCAGTCCTAATTATCATAACTACAAACTTAAATAGAGAAGACTGAGATTGTACTTTAAACATACCATGCCCTATATACTGTTTCAAATGGATTTTTTTTCTGTCTTCGATTGCCTGCAAACACCTTAATTTGGTCCTGTTGTGCCTTAAATGTTTAGATGTTAAGAGACTGAGTGATTTGGAAAAGACATTATAACAGAATTTCCTAAGACACCAACTAAAAGCAAGGACACTTTAAGATTACATAATACAGCGTTTAAATTTAGCCAGCTGCTGCTGAACTGAAAGATATTTTATTTTTACCAGAACTCTATTTGGTCACTGACAAGCTGTAGATTGTTTGAATTATTTTAAAATTTCATGCACACAGTGCCAAAGGATAAGTAAAATATTTGCCTCAACTACATTCAGTACCATGAATTTTAATATGAAAGAGCACTTATTTAGGGTTTTACTAGGGATTGCCGGTGTGTTTAAAATGTTGGGGCAGAATTAGAAAGTCCTGGATTTTATGCTTGAATATTTTTCTACCCCTTTGCTTCCTCTGAATGTTTTCCCTTCTTGCTACAACCACATGAGCAAACAGCTAGATCCATTTTTAAAAGTCAGCATTTCTCGTATCTGCTATGTGGCAAAGTGCCAGCAGTTTGGGCAAAATAAAGTCTGGACAGCACGATTCTGTTTTCATCAAGTTTAGGGTATCTCAACTGCCTGAAAAATGAGAGTAGACATTCTTCAAGGATCACAGAGGTCTTCACTTCAGAACATGTTGCAGGAGAAATGTCAGGCCCAGCTTCATGTCTCCTGTGATCACAGAGGGAAAGAGTGTTGCCTTTCCTGGGGCTGCTTTGGGGGCAAAGCCTGTAAGTTCATGGATAATTTACTGATGTTTACTGAGACAGCCACCCACCATGCAATCTGTTGGAGTATTCTGTCTCTTACTGCACACCTGCCACATTGAAACATTTTTGCACACCAATATTCTTTTTACAAAGTCAATTGGAGAGCTCAGAGTCCTGTCTAGAGTTAGTAATTTATAGAGCAGATTAGGTACTTAATAGACACCTGGAAATGTAATTGCAAGATTTCTGATTGATCAGTCCATGGGGGACAGAGCTTAATTGGCAGAGTAGTCCTTTTTATTTGCTTCCAATTCCATCTTTTGGGAATATTGAACTTACACTTTCAAATTTAACTAAACCGTAATTTGTTTGTCTCCTATTTCTGAAACAAACACTCCTTCTTCCAAATCACAGTTTCACCCCTTCAAGGGTGATAACTCCAGTCCTTTCTTATTCAGGAACAGTGCTGTTAGAACTGAGTTATCCCGTAAAGGCGCACTGTCTTTATCCAGCTGTGTGGGAGTTTGTATTATCTGTTTCCTCACCCTACCTCTAACATCAAATGTTGTATCTTTTCCTAAAACAAGCTTCCTATCTCCTCTATCTTCCATACTCTGGAGCCTTGTAATTAATCAGGGCATTTCACATTTCTTTTGCTGTTGTTATTATCAACAGTGACCCAGAAACTCACCAAAATCTCTTTTAGACATATTTATAGGGGAATTCAGTCATAGTCTCTCTCCCTTTCTCAGGGCAGAAGCAGGACAGAATCACTCATCTCTGTGATCATTTTTCTTCCACCTGGGCTCCATTCTGAATCTACCCACCAACCCCTCTTACATCTCCCCCACTCTTACATGTCATGAGCCATACCCTTAGAATATGTGAGACACCAACCCTCAGAAACTTCTAGTGGTTCTGCACCAGGAACTGGGGAGAAGGACCATGTGTTTGTTTTTCAATAATTTTTGAAAAAACATCTATAAATCCAGACAAAATTTTTCACATTATTTGTTCTCTGAAACATTGAAATGTATCTCTTAAAAAATTAAGTAGTATGTTTTGACTTGTATAATATAATCACTAAAAGCATAAACAGTAGTTACAATTAGGCAATAAACAAAAGATTTTATTTCCTTAAAATGAGATCAATAGATTAAGCCAGTAATATTTTTATTACTTTTGATGCATCAAATGCTTTATATGTATGTATGTATGTATGTATGTATATATACATATAGAGAGTAATGTACATATTTATATATTTATATAACGGTTCTCAGGACTTTATAGGACTAAATAATGGTATGAATATAATCTGGAAGTGAGCAGCACAGTAGTTAACCCAAATTCCTGGTGGACTAGTGCACTTCTTAAAATTCAAAATACTACCATAGAATAAAGGAATTTATCACATAGATAACACAAAGAACCTCAGAGCCTAATTGGTTTAACTTCTGTAAGCTCTATATTAAGTAAACAGAGGCACAGGAACACCAGTTAGTAACTCAGATAAGGTTTAAGTGCAGAGCCCAAAACCAGCTCTCTAGAGTCTCAGTGCCACATGTTACTCAGCAAGTCTTTGTACTATAATGTCAACCACACTTCACCCCAATGACCTGATATACAATGTGAGGTACATTTTGATAAAGCCTTATTTTTCCAATACAGCCTTTTGTTTCTTTTATTTTGCTTTTCATGTTTCTCTTAAAATAAGGACCAACTGTGTAAAAGGAAACCTAATCCATGTAGTTAGATGAAAATAGTCAATTCAAAAAGTAATGATTGATTCACTTTTCTTGTTACTGAGTACTCGTGTCCATCTTTTTTGTCAATCAAGATTCCTCCTGATAATCCTCACTGTCTTATCATTAGACAGCTCAATTTCCACCAATATTTTTGGCAGACTTTCAAGCAATCTTTGCCTTTTTATTTTTCTAATAGTATACATGATAATTAGTCATCTAGAGCTAAATGCTTTAAATATGTCTGATTCTTCAAAATAATTAATTCCCAAGTTGTTCCAGGCATGCATATGATTTCAAATAAATATATTACTACAATGTTCAGTTTGGGAAGTTTTAGATTTCTAGTTTCTCCTTAGTCAAATATTGAATAGCATCTTCTCCCCAAATCTGAAGATATCATTATGTGTATCCCTAAATGAATTAACTGGATAGTTACCAACACAGAAAAAAGGCAAAAAATTACATGTCACACAAGTTCAACATCCCAGTTCAACATTAAAAATGGTTTTAAATCATGTGCCTAGTGCTTTTCATAAATTTAGTAAATGTGAATTGAATAAAAAGTAATGTTCAAATGATGTTATTTTACTTTTAACTCATAGGAATTTAAGTGTTTTGCAAATGATTTGCAGGTGGACCTCAATTGTGATGGCTTCATATTAGAAATGGTCAATTTATTTATCTATTTGGAAATTGTCTCCCTTTCTAAATCTTTCTTCTTTTTATTTAATTTCTATGAAAGTTTTCTCGATTTTTTTTAACTCAAGAGCCATAACCATCTGTGCAAAGCGTCCTCAGTTGACCAGAATTATCACAATACTATCTCCTATAAAAATATTTTACGTTTTTAAAGATATGCATTTGAATGTTAATAAGAATAGTCACATTTAAAGCACTTATTTGCACTATAACTTCATGGATGATTTATCAATATCTACATTGAGGTTTCTGTTTGTTTTTAGTCAGCACTGTCCTATTATGACAGATTTGTGATATCTAACTGGTAAGCCATTTAGATAAGTAATTAGAAGTGTGTAAACAGCTATAGTGATTAAGTGCTCCAGGGAAATAGTGAAAAATTTCTTTGTAAAGTTAAAGATCACTGTTGATTTATCTACTTTTTTATGTTGGAGTTTTTTAATTTCTACCCATAGATCACTTCATCAAGTTAGAATCCTCTGGGAAAGGCAAAGACTAAATTATGTTTATTCATATGATTAAAGGTTGCTGATTCTAACTGCAAGCTTTACATAAAAGGCACTGTCTCTGCTTCAAGTGCATCCGCAGCCACTTTCCTAGGCACGTTAGGGTAGAAGTCAGCTGCTTTTTTACTAAGATAAAGCCAGGCAGCCTTTGCCAGTTGGCCTCAGGGGACAGAGCAAGGGATGCACAGAGGAAAGCAGCTGCCAGGGACCAACAATTTGATCACCTCCTTCTTTCCCCTGCACCATTCTGCGGTGCTCAAAGTAGGAACAGGACTTCAGTAGGATCTTGACAACTTTAGTAGGAAATATGCTAGTCCTCTGAGTCCTAGAGGTCTCAGAAACATTTATTTTTAGGAATGGAAGTGTACTAGGTCATGTCTGATTTCAGTCACTGACTCATTCTGAAATAGAAATAATTTCAAGATTCGTCATCTCTCCATCATCCAGAGCTGGACAACAGCCACACTTTTCCTCTGTGAAATTTCAGAAAAATGCTTTTTGGAAGGCACATGTTTGTGTCTAATTTCACCCCTTTATTTCACAAAATATCTAGTCCACTTATCACAATTGTCTATTCAAAGCTAGTATTTATAGTTTCTAATATCCCATCTTTAAATAGAA